AAATCAGCCGTAAAATAATGCAATAACGCGTCTTTACACCGTGTTTGCAAATAGTTTCCTCCACCGAAATATTTGGCGCTGCATCAATACTGTTTCCGGGCTTATCAAATTCATTTGCGGGATATCACGAAACTTTGCCTCTAGGGTGTAACAAACTTACACGTTTCGACTCGCTTCTCTCTCTCTCTCTCTCTCTCTCTCTCTCTCTCTCTCTCTCTCTCTCTCTGTCTCTCTATGCATCGACCAGAATAAAGGAAAACTTTGATGTTCTCAATTACGTGTCTGAGCTACAGTTGTTCGGATGATATGCTTGTAAACGGTTGCCTCGATGACCGTAACTCGTTTATCAACTCTCCCTTGAACGTTCACAAATAACGATGTTCGATCGTTCGAGACGAAGTGGCAAGTGGCATTTTAAAGATAGCGTTGGGAATGGAAGAACTCTAATTCTCAAACGAGAGGTTAACGCTCGTTTTAATAGAGAGAGATAATTGAAAAGTGTTCGAGATAGATGAATGTTAATACGATCGTACGGTAGATGTCCGAGTTAATATTGATTATTACTACTGTTAATGGACACCCCTTTCGGTTAGTATTTATTTTCGTATCTTTTAATATTACGCGTGCAACACATTTTTGTTTTTATTATAGGAACATGGGAGTGGATGATTAATGAAAAATATTTCGAAGAGTATAATAACACAGAAATTGAATATTATTTTACCAACATTCGATATAATTATTCTGGATTATCGAATTTAAAATACACCAAACAATAGGAAATAACAATAGAATTTTTTGATCTAAATTTAATCTGTTGGGGAGAAATTTTTAAATCTAGAGATTAAAAAAAAAAAAAAAATGAATAAAGCATTCCCATCGACGATTACTATATAATACTATATAATGGGATCAACTGGTGATTTTCCAAACATCGTCCAATGAATCACATTTACCGCAAACGAAGGGCTCGTGTGTGCAAAGGTAAAGAGCTGCGGGGCACGTTTCGCGCCCTATCGCGAATCTTACGGCACGTGTAAACCCATAAAACGTCGACCTTTGTAACCGGAAGAGGATTGTGAACCAAGTTAAGACTCGGTCGGAACCGCAATCTTCCGGGAACCGAGTAATAACCTGCTCTGTCCTCCCTGTTTCCGGATTTTATCGAGCTCTTACATTTTTAATGAATACTATTACCAACAGGTAACAACAACGACGGCAATCGTGCTACAATAATTACAATTCGTACGATCCTTTTAAAATTGAGGATTGATCGTAAAACGTGTTTTGAATATTTATTTAAGATTTGAGTGGATAAGAAGAATACAAAGTGTGTGTTTTTTCTGATAATTGTTAACGCAGTGATAAGAAGTGGAAAGAATGTCGATTATTATTTTGGTATTTTGCTGGTAAGGGTTGAAATAGGGTTAAAATATTTTTTCGAGACTCGAAAGAAAGTGGAACTCGTAGATGTTAAAAAAGCTATGGAATGTAAAAGGAAATTCCGAAAGTTTCGAGGAATCTGTTAAATAGGTCGGTGTTACGGAATGTCTCGCGTGAGTAAAGAAAATACTGTGGTTTTTTTTTTTTACTTGTAACTTTTCAAATAGAAAGGAAAAATGAAGATATTTATTTTTGGAATTTTTAGATAAAAATTTTCAACAACCTATAAAAATCGATATCTCTTTTCAGATCACAAACATTTCAACGTTGAATTGTACATTTTGCGTGAAAAGTTTACTAGACAATCTAGACGGTATAATTTTTTTATTAAATCTCGAAACGATTTCAAGAGATAGTTTGATAGTTTCAAGGGAACATTTACATTTTAAAATTTCCATACGGAAAAGATAAATAACCCCCCTCTAAAACAAAACTTGTTCGAGCACTGTTAAAACAAATCTCGTATTCAAAGCGAATGAATTCAAAGTTACCCTCCTTAATAATTGAAAAGCGAAATTATTCGAAGTCATCAGAAACAGCAAAAATTGAATTTTTAAATGGATTTATGTAAAATTATCGATAGAAATATTATAATGTTTAATGCTACTATGCTATAAATTTATTATACGATATTAAAATTAATAATATATAACATAATCACGTACACACGTATCTCTTAATTCAATGAAATTTCATTACGCTAATTTAATTTTGAATTAAACATAGCTATCAATATACAACTAATTTAAAAGCTTAAATTTGAAATTTATTTGAAATTAATATTAATACAAATTAATATTATTTAAATAATATAATTCCTTATATAACGCAAACTCAATCATTCTTTCCCCTTTTTGTAAAAAAAAAAAAAAAAAATAAAAACAATCATTAAAACAATACGTATTTATCACACGATACAAGATCATTGAAATTCAAAAATTCATATAAAAATTCATACAGATTTGATTATCGATTTCAAACTTATTCTCGAAATGTGAATAGGATGCATTATTGTTATTAACCCGGATCGATAACACTTGACAATTCATTTAACTCTAACAACAAGGATATTTTTCAACGCGATTGAAAATTTCAATGGATTTCAACTAGAGAGATTTCAATTTCTTTTCGAATTCATTTTAAACCGGCCGCGAATATTTACGAAGAGAGATTTGCAATTAATCGACACTCGTTATTTGGCAATTAAGTTAATTGAGGATCATTCTGATAAATCTGTATTAAGCTTACGTATGACTCATTAACGTAATTACTAGTGATAGTAATTAATATAGTGTACAGATAATTAATAAATAGCAATTTAGGGATCGGTGATAATTATTAAATAACTACAATTTAATTATTATTATTATTCGTTAATCAACCGTTTTATCATTTTATTTATTATTAGAAAAACCGTAATTAATAACGATGAATTAAAAAATTTTGAAAGAAAAGAATATTTGTAAAAAGTTATATAATTAATATACGAATGCACGTGTTTGTGATTACATCGATAAAGCATTTTCATCTCGAAATAAATTTTGCATCGTTCTTTTTTATTATCGAACTTTGCTTCATTAACAAGTTTTCGAAGTTTTATTTTTCTCACCTTCAACGATATAAACGCAATATTTAATTAATCATAAAAAATGATATAAACTCGAAACTTCAACTAGCTTAGCTTTAAAAAGAAACGAAACAACGATTTAAATCATGTTCATTCGTCACGAAGATCGTGAATTTTTTATTTTTCATTGATAATTTGCGTCTATATAATGATTGCCCGTGAACAACCGACAAGTTTGAGCCGAGTTATGGCCGCTCATCTCCAGCGTAAAAAGTCGCTGGAATAGAAACGAATAGCTGAAACTTTTCCGGGCTACCATTATAACTCGTTACCTCGTAACAAAGGGAAAGTTTTTTTAATACTTCCGCTCACCACCATAAGCCTACGGTTCTCTTTACTAAGGGGCGTGTCGTGTTACGGTCTTTAACGTTCACGGTGTTTCAAAAGATTTAGTACAATTTAAAAAGAGGAGAGAAATGTTAAACGTAATCCTGGGCAGATTCTATTATAGTTAAATGGTATTGTAATAATTTCGTAGTACGAAAAAAGAAAGGAGGGTTTTGATTAAAATTTTGCAAATTAAGTTTCCAATAATTAACTCGAAACTTAATTAATCCAAAGAATTTCTAAGATTTGATAAGAATTTCTATTTTTTCCTTTTTTTATTCGATATGCGATAATTAAACGAATCGAGACGAGTTCTTCGAAATTCGAAAAGAATTTCTCTTTTCTCAAATTTTCGATATTCAATAATTATATCTAATAATTAATCAAATTTAAACGAATTGTAAAAGAAGATTGTTACAAGTCGAAATTGAAATCTCTCGTGAACCAAATTTATAATATTCGTTTCCCTATTCTTGATTTTTATCCCTTTTAATTGATATAAATTTTTTAATAACGTTGCATATCGCTATATCATTGAATGTTGCCACCTTTTACACCCTAAATAGAATATAATAATACATTTGTAGAAGTAAGTATCGGAAAATCATGAACCGAAAGACGAGAAATATACTTAAACTTCCTTGAACACATTTTATGTGGAATTTTTCCAAAATTTATATAATAAACTTTGGGATTTTCAGAATAGAAGATGTCAAAAGAACAATGATTTCATGATAATTAAAAAATCAACATGGAAAAGATATTTTAATTATTGTATTATTATATTATATTACTATTGTATTATTATATTGTATAATAATTTATATGATAATTAGTATAATAATTTGATTAGATATTTAACAGTATGATATTTGGAATAATCATATTCATAATGTAATATGATCAAACTATAATAAAAACTTAATAATATAAATTACTTAAAAAGCACTACCTAATTGAAAAATGAAGAGATAGTTTTAATTACACAATAATTTTTAAATATATTTATACTTTTCTACTATCCCTTTAGATCTATTTCATTTTCTGTAAATCATTTAATAATAAATGATGATATATATCATATCTAGCATAAATAGTATAAAACTATTATAAAATATTGAAATTTATTCAGATAATTTATCAGCAAGAACCAAATCATGAAATGAAATTTTATGATTTGGAAATATACATAAAAGACATATAAAAGATAGTTAATAAAAAAAAAAATAATAAAAAAAATGAATTAATTGTTTTTACTATTTTAGATTATATATTTTGAAATATTATTAGACCTTATTTTGAATGCATATTCATCCTGTGTTCGGATGATTAATCATTTGAATAATCAAACTTCGAATAATCAACTTTCTATTGTATATCATATAACCATTATAATTAAATTGCGAATATTCATGCATTTATGCAAAATTTTAATATATAAAAATCTATAGAATTTACATGATATGTATAAAAATAGGAAATATCCAAATTATATTACATTTGATGAATAAATTAAATCTTTAATTTTGCATAAAATTCACAATCTAATTACAAGCTCATGCTCGTGATTTTTATCATAATAAAATCTATTCTAAGTACATACCTTTCGTAGTCGTATTCTTTTCAGGTATTCTTTTAAGATTCGTATTCTTCGCCTTCTTTCGTATTCTTCTAAAATTAACAAATTCGAACAATTCCACGATCGTATTTTCCATCCATTGTCTTTTGCACTTTAACCGAACGAATATCGTGATTCTCGAAGTTTGACTCTATCCGCCATTTTAGTAGAACTTTATTCGAACCAGTTTCTATTCCATTTACCCGTGTCAATGTAGTACGTACACCTCGCGTGATCTGTTTAAAACAATAAAGTGTGGTTGGCCACTACTGGTGTTGCGTTAATCAATTTTATCGCGAAGTCGATTCCATCCTGATACTGCACGAAGAGAAGGCAAGAGAAAGCCTCTGTGTGAAACGTTCGTCCATGGCCGCCATATTATTAATTGGCCGACGCATAACACAGCAATAACATTAGCCGAATAATATAATAATGCTATCGGCACTGTGTAGCCCGAGCCTGCCCCACACTTCCGAGAGAATCCCGAATTTGATGACGGAGCACAACAAACACATTTGCATAATATATATTTCGTTATCGCACTAAACACGAGACGATCAAAAATTCCGTTAATCAATAGCGGCCATATTGATGACTACTAAGAACGATTCGATTTTCAATTCGTTCGAGAGAAAGTTGAAAAGTATCGATATATATATCGTTGTTTCCGAGAGTATCGTTTATCGATATATATCGTTTATCTTATTACGCATTACTTTTTCTTCGAATTATTATTATCTTCGATATATTATATTATCACGTTTATTATTAAAAAAAGAATTATATTCAGCAAAATATATTGCGATACGTATTAATTGAATTGAAATTCGAACCGATTAAGAATTATTTCATTCAATGATATCGAAACCATCAAATTTCTCTACGATAATATAAATGTCTTCCTCATCAAGAATCACATCAGAATGACTTTACCACAGAATCCTGATCGTCAAATCGCATAGTTTTGCATAACTTTAAAAACTTTTCATCGCTTTAAGAGACTGTCACAAATAAAGCAATCTGACGTATTCCCTTCGGAATATCCAGATTGCTAAAGATTTTTCAGACTGTCTACTATCGAATTCTTTTCTCAATCACACAGATTAAACATTAAAACTATTCACATCTATTCTAAATCAACCATTCATTGTCAAATAACAAGAAAATTACGATCAAGCTCTTATTCAAATAAACCTAACCTAATTCAAGAGTCACAATCAGACTAGAAACGCGATCAGGTATTTATTATACAATTTAATTTTAAGATTCACAATCATATTACAGTCGTCTACACACGATTCAAGTATTTATTTATAATTTAAATCAAAAATTCACAACCACACTACAAACATTTATTCGCGATCCAGACTAATCTATTTTACGATTCAGGTTAAAGATTCGCGATCACGACTCAACTCGTGGCGCCCTCTCTCACTTATAATCCATCTTGGCTCTTATTCGCCGTTTGGACAACGTCGAAGAAGCGACAGGTAGTCGGATGAGAAACTGGTGTTGGAGGGATCTGAGCCGGCGTAGGTATGGGTTTTAATTATTTCCACGAGATGAGATTTTGCCGCGGAGGCTAGCATTGAACGCTAGTCCGGTGTAAATTCCGGGGAACCTCGGCTAATCGGCATAATTCCACGGAATCCGTAATAGACTTCAGAATGGGCTGGGAGACGTTGGCGAACATTGGCCCGGGAGCAACCACCACCCACACTCTCCTCTTTGAGTCCTTCAACCTCTCTCAAGGTTCCTCGTCAGTCGTTCGTTTTGCTCATTTTACTTTATTTTCGTAGTTCTTTCCATGCTCGCGTATATTTCTTTTTCCCCTTTTCTCTTTTTCTCTTTTTTTCCTTTTCCTCGTACGTTGAATTTTTTTTCTTATTCGCTTCCTCTTTTATTTCGTCCTTCTCTTGACCGTTTCATTCAGTCTCACAGCTTCTTTCACTTGTCTCTTTTGTACTCGAGGCTTGTTTCTCCTTTCTTACACCCACGTTTCTTTTTCCGCCGGATTTTTCTTCCTTGCACCTCTTTATCCCTTCCTGTTTTTTCTTTTTTATTTTTTTACGCTTTTCTTCAAAGGTTGTTCCTGCTCCCTCTCTGAGAATCTCTTTGTCTCAACTGGATTAGCCTCTTCTTTATTCAAAGCTCTTTTTATTTAAAGAGAATTAATATACGATTACTTGCAAATGTTTAATTATATATAATATAATATTGACTTTCTTTATTATGAAAATTTCTTGTGAAAAATGATTTTCTAAAGTCAAGCTCTTTCTTATGATTTCCACATTGCATATATGCATATATTATATAATAAATCAAAATGTACATATTTATTCTTATAATTGATTAAAAATAATATTAGTTTTTTAAAAAAATATACATCTTCTTTGGATAAACTCAAGAGGAGTTTAAATTTTTAAAAGATATTTAAAATATTGTGCGATTCCAAACTTTTCTCTCAAGATTATATTCTCGTTAACATGTATTTTCTCGCTGATATAGCCTCCAAGTCCTTCAATGCATTACAAAATCGCTTGAGCTGTTTTCATAAGACGCTTGAATCGACGGATCACACCGTCTAAAGCGGATTACACATTATGTTAATTACGACCAGGCTCAAGTCGTTTTCTTGTAGATCGAATAAAGTTTTTTTAATCTATTCATGCTTGAATGCCAGGCGATAGATAGGATTTATTTGAAAAGCTGTTTCATACTTTCAAGTTTTATTTTTTATCCCTTGATAATATTTCCGACAAAGAGAAAGAAAATTTTTTGAATTTTTTTTATTTATAGTTTGCATTTGCTGGATCCACTCCAACATCAACTTTGTTAAAACATTCTCGAAGAGTATTAACGCAGTTCCATTTAAAAAACGAAATTATTAATTACACAGATCCCGTTAATATTCTTAAATTTTAACAAAAAAAAAAAAAAAAAAAAAGAAAAAAGCATTTGCATTTCATGTTCTAATATTTCATAGGAAATGAATATCTAAATATCTCTAGATAAATCTCTTTCATTTCATTCTTCCGTATTTCAATTAGATTAATTATTAAATAGATAAATCGAAATTAAATGATCTATCATTCATTAAAATTTTCTTCCACGCAAGTATCCATATAATTTTATTATTATTTCATTATATTTCAAATAGATTGAATTTTAATCAAATTTTAATCTAAATTCTCACAAAATCGTAATCGTAAAATAAATCTGATTTTTACATCTATACGCTTGATACGCTTGATATCATCACTTCCATACGTTGTTAATGATAACGTCGCTATTATCGATGCGTTATTATATGATAATATACAGGATATGGCGATAAGGACAGTAGACAAATCCGGTATTTGTGAAGAAACGCCGGTACGAATGGCGGACTTGGACAGTTCGATGGCAGCAGTTCGATGCTAATGAAATTCCGCCGGTCGCTCTCATAGATTGTGCAGTCGGTCCAGGTGACTGCTAGTTTGGCATGAGTGTGAATCCACAGAATGCACACTATGGGATTATCCTGGATTCAGATAAATCTGGTATCTATTTGCACATGATCAAAATCCAACTGAATTTATGTAATGTTAAATATTACGAGTGAAATTGTGATATAATATATTGTTGGATCTTCCTTTAATTTCCTTTTTTTTTTTCTTTGATATACGATTTGTTGAATTTTCATCAAGATTTACTTCTTCGAGGAAGTAAAAGTAATATCATTGTATTATTTTTCGAAAATGGAAAATGATGAACGAGAGAATTGTATTAAAAATTTGTAAAAAATGCAAATTCTAGATTCCTATTTGAAATTCTTTTTTTTTCTTTCAATTATAATAATTATAATAAATTATTATAATAAATATTATAATAATTATAATAAATGAACAATATGAAATCTAAATAATCAAAATTTTAATATTAAGATATAATATGGTTTCAAGGGGCAGATTTAATAAAAGAAGGTCGAGGAAATGACAAGAAGTTACATTTTTTAATTAGAAAAGATGGTTGGAACGAAGACACGATTCATTCAGCTTCATAAATGTCCACATTAATTGGGATAATTTTGCTGTCAACGGAGGAGATAATTAATGTCAGGCCAAAATACTTGCCGGAGAAAAAAAAAAAAAAAACAGAGGAACACGCTTTAACATCGTGCTTAAGTATAATTTTTCAAACGGGTCCACTTCCTCTTCTTACAAGTTTAAAACGTTAATCTACGAATGAAATTCACCAACGTAATTTAAGTTTTTAATTTCTCAACTGTATACCTTTTTTCCCCCCTCCGAATTACAAATTTTTCTTCTTTCATAACTCGTGTAATTATAACGCAACTTATCTTGCATTAATTAAAAACATTACTTGCCCGAATATCCATCCATTCAAATAAATTATCGATATCAAGTTTTACATATCGCAAAGAGTGCAGTTTTAAACAATTAAATAAATCCTCCATATATAAATCACACAACTCTCTCTATCCAAGTTAATCAAAGAAGAAGAAAAATAAATAAATAAATAAACAAATAAAAAAGTTCATCAATTTCATCTCAGAATTTCTTATTCCTTTTTCAAACAAATAATAATATCAAAAAATCAAAAAAAAAAAAAAAATCGAAAAAAATTCAAATATTATAAAAGATTAGGAAGAAAAAAAAAAATAAGAATAAGATAACATGTCAAATTGCGAAAAGTAGGAAACGACCGCGATTCGAGTCATCTGGAAGCGAGGGTGAGTTTTAATCGAGCAGAAGGAAACGAGGAGAACGATCGAGGGAGGGGAGGGGGCTAGCGGAAAGAAACATAGTTGGATTTAATAAACATTCCCGGATCGTAATCGGGCGTCGAGACGGGTACAAGGATCAATGTTCCGATTTCCGGCAGGAAATCTAGATTCCAGGGTAGATTAAACTTACCGGAGATATGCTCATCGCCGATAAGTGACTTTAACTTTCGGAAGCTGTTCATAGTTCAGTGCGTGCATAATGAAGATTCGTAGCGGAGAGTTACGAAGAGAAAGTCGTAAAGCAAAGTCTTGGGGGGAAATGCAAACCGTGAGAAATAATGAAAGTTTTCCCTACTGATCGAATTATCGGTCAGTAACGAATTTTAATTTTAATGATTTAATATTTTTAGTTGATGGACCAAATAACTTTACATTTTTTTTTTTTGTATGTAATTTAAAATTGAAATCGAACGCTTTATAATTTTGATCAATTTTTGAGAATTGATGTATAATTTTTAAATTTACATTCTGATAAATATTTTACATATATTTAATATTCCATATATAATATTTTATATATATATATAATAATTTACATTCTGACGATACAGGGTTAATTTTTAAGAATTATTTCGATAGAAGTTAAAAATTGAAAGAGGTATAATTGGCCATTTAATTAAGGTACATATAGAGCTTACAATTAGTACGTTGTGTACACAGTAATCAAACATCAAATAGGAACGTGATGGATTGATCTTCTCAAACGCACGATTAAGATTATTATTTGAAACAAGGCTATCGCTAATATATTCGAGGTTATAAATTTTACTCCCTTTGATAGAATTTATTGAAAAAAAAATCTGTACGATCATGAATACCTCGTTTCAAGGATTATTCTTGGGCTATATCCTTCGATTCTCGGAATCGTTAGTCCCTGAATCGTTGAATGCTCGTAAGCAGACGTGAAAATGAAATGTTTCGACGTTCGTAATTATTCATGGTGTCAACGTATCCGTCGGTTTCACACCGTCTCGAATAGATTCTATTCATTACCTAACTCCTATCCTATCTGCTCGACATTTTCTTCTGTTCCTCCAGACTGCGAGGAATGTTAATGCCCGTTCCCACGTGACACGTGACAAATGGGAACCGTGTTAATTCGGGAAAAAAGAAATCACTTTTGCACACTGCACGGTGACGAGGTGGAGAGGAATAGTTAAAGCATTATTCCATTTTACGAAATGAATTATTATTTCGTTTCGTTCGCGTTGAATTACACCTATTAATTTCAATAAAATATTATACACGGTACATTAGTTCGGTACAATAGCAATTACAGCGCAACATTGTACTTTCAATCCTTGTATAACTCTTCTTTAGCATTGACCATTTCGCCCGAAACTTTTCTCATTCAATTATGATTCTTTCATGAACTTTATTACAACCCACGG